AATTATAGTGTATGAAAATCGTCAAAATAATCTAACTTTTTATGGGGGGTGAGACCGCTGCAATTTTTTTATGGAGTTTTATTCAGGTGACCACCCTCTTTCGATCCCCCCTATCCTCATTCGATCCCCCTACTCCCACCCCCATCTAACCCCTATAACTTTTTATGGCCATCATCTAGACTTACCAAATTAATAAATATGACAACTATTTTACGTAAATTTATTCATTTATTAACTAATACATATTTTTATTCAATGCATGTATTAAATTTCATCCAAATTGGTTTTCAAAATCGTCTGATCTATTAGTGACCATCACCACTGGCTATCGGAGAAGATTCTGTTTCATTAGAGTTCAGGGATTCAGACTCGTCCTTACCTGTAAAATGAACCAAATTATTGTCTTTAAAGTTTTATTAGACGAAAATAACAATTAGGCTCGTTATTTATTATTTTTTTTGTTATTATTCGGTACTTACCAGGACAACGCCCATCTTTGACCTTTCTGTAGACTGCAAAAAAATATTGAGGTTTCACTTTAGTGTAGTCATTGCAAAAGAACATTTTTAGGGGATGGTATTTCATTTTTCTGGTTACTTTTCAAGGCACATTCCCTTTCACATATTCATTTTATTATCTTTTTATTTTACAACTCACCGTTTCCAGTCAAACAGTTGTATTTGTACATGTTACAATTATTTGGGAAATCAAGTAGATTGCCGGTTTTGGCATTACGAGCACAAATAGGACGAACAGGAAAACCAGAACAGTCGAAACAATCGGCGGAATTCCCGTACGTCCAGGACAGAGCCATGAAAGCGACTGGAGTAAAATAAAGCAAAATTATTTTAATTAACTATTACGGTTTCGTTAGGTAAAAATAAACGAAAATAAAAAGTAAAGTAACTGCTTTTACCTAAAAGTAACGCTGAAATGGTCTTCATATTACCGGTTGATAAGAAAAGATTTATAACAGCGACGATGGTTTATCAACTTATATATACCAATGTAGGTACTTCAGGCTTTGAAGTGATAATAAATACAATAGCCCCAGACTTAAAAATTAAGTGTTTCTATTTACATTTGGCTAGATAATATCTTAAACATTCCCAAAAAAAAACAAACCGTTTTCAGTTACATAATGAAGGTTAAATTTGAAAAAACTCGGAGGAACGTGTAGCATGTCACGGAAACTTTTTTCCAAACTCTGTTGATGACGCGTTCGTATCTCGTTTGTAGATTGTAGAGGAAGCAGCCTTTCTCTACCATTTAGCAAAAACAGGAATTCCAAACTTCGGCACCAGTTATTTCAGCAGTTTTGTCGTGTAGGAATACGTCATAGGTTAAGGATTTTGTAACGTCAATAATCCTAACTAATATTATAAATGCAAATGTGAAATTGTTGTTTAGTACGATTTCACGCATTAACTACTTAATTATCCATTATTGTCGGGGGTACAGGAAAGACATATTAGGGTACCTTTGATCCAGAAGAACAATACTGTTCCTGAGGGATACGTGGATATCGATGATCTTAGACACGTGCCTACTTAGGGCATAAACGTTAGCGAAGCCGGGGGTAAAAGCTATCATGAAATTTTGTTTCACATCATTAGGGATACAGAAAAAGACGTAGGGTACCTTTTAGTCAAAATTTTCCTACTATGTTCTTTTCATTTTAACTTATTTATCTTCAACACAAGTACATGGAGCTTACAAGCATTATTGTGTCCAACCTCCGACATACGACTTTCAGCATGGGGCTCTAGACCTATTGAAGATTTATCGGAAGTCCATGGGACGAAACGTATTCACCGTAACACCGAAAACTACAGAAAGTGTGTAACTGACGACATCTTTTTTCTTTTTAATATTTAAGATATTATCGATCTAAATTTAAACAAAAACAATTAATTATTAATTTTCCAAACAAACACCTGTTTTATTTATTATCAGTTCAAAGCCTCAAGTACCTAAATTAGTATATATATGCAAGTAAACCTTTGCCATTGTTACAAATCTTTTCTTATCAACAGGAAATATGAAGATCATTTCAACGTTACTTTTAGGTAAGGCAGTTAGTTTACTTTTTATTTTTGTTTCTTGTATCTAACGAAACTGCAACAATAATAATTTTGCTTTATTACTCAAGTTGCTTTTATGGCTATGTCCTGGAGTTACGGGGAAGCCCAGAATTGTAAAAATTGTATGGGGTCTACTGGCAAAGTTATTTGTGGCCTCAACATGGTCACTGGCGAAATGGTGACCTTCCAAAATAAATGTTGGATGGACCGATACACTTGTTTGGTTGGAATGGGTGAGTAGTAAAATAAAAACAAAGTAAAGTCAATATGTGGAAGGTAATGTGCCTTCACAAGTAACCAAAAAAAAGAAATACTATCTCCTAAGAAAGTCTTTTTGCAATGACAATACTAAACTGAAACCTTAATATTTCTTGCAGAGCACAGACACCTCGATGATGGCCTTTGTCCAGGTAAGGCAGAATGAAAATTGTGACTTTTCTAAAAACTGAAACTTGAGCCAAAATGACTGTGATAATTTTGCTTCATTTTACAGTTACTAAGTCTATGAGCTACGGCGAAACAGAAACCTTAGACCAAGCCAAGGCATGTTCGACTTGTTCGCGTAACTTCAAACCTCTTTGTGGTCATGATGAAAAAGGCAACAAAAAAACATTTTCAAGTGCGTGTGCATTGAACCGACACAATTGTTTGACTGGAGACGGTGAGTAGTAAAATAAATACAAAGTAAAGGAAGTGTGTATAGAAAAAGGTAACACTTTTTATTATTTTACAATTGTATTTTTCAAAATATGCAGCGGATTAAGAATGTTTTTGCAATAACTGTACTAAACTGAATTCTCAATATATTTTTAGATTACAAAATCCTCAAGAAAGGCTCTTGTTATTCAGGTGAATCAAACAAAAACCTACTTGTCAAACTGAATTAGAGAACTTCCGAGAACTATTTTAATTATGATTGCAACATACTTGGAACAATATACAGTAAGTAAGATAAATCAAAAGAAGTGATAACATTTGAAATAATTAAATACCATTTCTTATCCTTACAGTGGTAATAGAACAATCAAAACCAAAAAAGGGTGAAATAAATTTTGAGTGGTTTAAACAACGGAATAAATTTGTTTTACAAATTAGTAAAGGCTTTCGCGACCATTTGGTGAACTGGTGTAGTCCTGGTTCGGCTCTAAAGCCGTCGTCGATTGGACTTACTTTCTAGCGTTTCGTTATCCCGACTACGGAATTTCTTAAGAGATCTTTGATGTTAGATGTAGATTGTATTTCACCTTTTCTTGGCTCTGATTAATCTATTATTTTATATAAAACTTTATCTAATACGCTTTCCTTAACTTTCAGACAACAGTTAGTGCAAGAAGTTAAGCAATTTAATTTGCATTTACAAACCTATTTCAATAAAATTATTACCTACAAATGCAATACCAAAAATGTGTCCATACCTGTTTTTCCATTTTTTTTTATAATAATAAAATATTCATGTTTTTCATTGTTTAATTTCTAACACGTTTTCAATGAAAAATCTGGACACCCCTAGTGTTTCCCAGGAATTTAAAATACAAAAGTATTTTAAAATAAAATGATGTCAAATGAATGAGGAGCGTGTTCTACGTGTCACGGTAACTTTTTTCCAAAATCTTTTTAAGCAATTTGACTTTTTATCTCGTCTGTAGAGGCTACACTCTCTATCATCTGGGAAAAACAGTGATTCAAATCTTGCGCAGCAATTATTTCAGCAGTTTGGTCTTGTAGGAGTAGGTTCAAGAACTTTGTGATGATAATTATCCTAACTAAAATCATAAATGTAAATGTGAGATTGTTTGTTTATTACGATTTCGGGCCTGAACTACTTAATCATTCATAATAAGTCTTAAAATGCGTTTCCCTGAATTAAGCCAAAAATTTGCACATATGAATCTGAACTCGTCGAGTCGGAATAGGTTTGAAAATAAACTGTGAATTTTCTTAGTAAGTACCTGATGGTATTTTTGTATGACAGCGAACGCGTTTGTTCAATTATAAGTTCAGACAGAATGTCTATTGTTGTGAGATTTTTTGTTTAATAGTATTTCACGCCTTAACTACTTAATCAATTATCGTTGTTAGGAGTACAGGAATGACAAATTAGGGTACCTTTGATCCAGAAGAACGATACTGTTCCTGAGGAATAGAAAAATTAGTTTTACGTGGACGTTGATGATCTTTGACACATATTTAGGACATCGACGACAACGAAGCCGCAGGTAAAACGTATCATGAAATTTGGTACACACATTGTCAATGGTACGGAAAAAGGCATAAGGTATCTTTTAGTCAGACCAGAATACTCTTCCCGGACCACCTATAGAAAAATTAAAACGAGTGAAATCTAGTCACAAATTATGAGTAGAAACAGAAATACAAAAACCATTGACTGCAAGGTTAGTATACGATTAGAAGATTTTAATTAATTAGTTTCGAATTTATTAATATTACGTTATACAGTGGCTGCATGCTGCTGCAATTCCAAACTTTGGCAGCAGTTATTTCAGCAGTTTTGTCGTGTAGGAGTACGTTATAGCTTCCGTAGTGTCGTTATCAAACTACAGATAATTTTTATAAATGCACGAATGCATGAAATAGCGTTGATATAACGTTATATTGCGTTCATACTTATTTAAAAAATAATTCATAAATATGACAGCTATTTTACGTAAATTTAATAATTTATTAACTAATACATATTTTTATTTATTGCATATGGAACATATGTATTAAGTTTCATCCAAATTTGTTTTCAAAATAATCTGATCCATTCCTGACCATCACCACTGGCGATCAGAGGTGTCTGTTTCATTAGAGCTCGGGTTATCAGAAGGACGACCTGGAAAATGATCCGAAATTATTAGTCATTTTGGCAAATGTTTTAGATTTTAGAAGTCACACAATTTGCATTCTGACTTACGTGGGCAACTGTCATATCTGACGAATCTGTAGTCTGCAAAAAATATTGAGATTTTAATTGAGAATTGTAATTGCAAAAAAACTTTCTTAGGAGATAGTTTTGGTTACTTTTCGATTTTGTTTTTATTTGTTCTTATTTGGTACTCACCGTTTCCAGTCAAACAATTGTATAGTTTCATGTAACACATATTTGTAAAAAGTACTAGAGCGTCGTTTTTCCAATTATTACCACAAACAAATAAGGGTGTATCCGGACATGTACCACAAGAACCATTCTGGGCTTCTCCGCTGCTCCAGGATAGAGCCATGAAAGCGACTTAAGTAAAATAAAGCAAAGTTATTGTCGTTACAGTTTCGTTAGGTACAAGAAACAAAAATAAAAAATAAAGTAACTGCCTTACCGAAAAGTAAAACTGATCTGGTATTCATATTACTGGTTGATAAGAAAATATTTGTAACAATGGCAAAGTTTTACCTGCTTATATATACCAATTTCAGTACTTCAGACTTTGAATTGATAATAAATGCAATATTCACTTATCTAGAAAATTAAAAATTAAGTATGTTTTTTTATTAATTTGGCTCGATAATATCTTAAACACTTCCAAAAAAAAAACAAGATGTTGCCAGTTACATAATGAAGGTTAAATTTGAAAAAACTCGGAGGAGCGTGTACGACATGTCACGCAAACTTTTTTCCAAAATCTTTTGACGACATGATCGGATCTTGTCTGTAGATGATCGAGAATATAACCTTTCTCTACAATTTAGCAAAAACAGGAATTTCAAACTTTGGCACCAGTTATTTCAACCGTTTTGTAGTGTAGGAATAATGCAAATGTGAGATTTTTTGTTTAATAGTATTTCATGCCTTAACTACTTAATCAATTATCGTTGTTAGGGGTACAGGAAAGGCATATTAGGGTACCTTTGATCCAGAAGAACAATACTGTTCCTGAGAGATTGAAAAATTAGTTTTACGTGGACGTCGATGATCTTAAACACGTGACTACTTAGGATATCAACACTACCGAAGCCGGGGGTAAAAGCTATCGTGAAATTTTGTACACACGTTGTCACGGATACAGAAAAAGACGTAGGATACCCAGTAGTCAGAAAACAATACTGTTCCCGAGGTACCTATAGAAAACCTAGAACGAGCGATGCCGAAAGTAAAATTATAAATTTACAAATAAAAAGTAGAAGCAAAAAAACAAAAGCTGTTCACTGATTTTTTATTAAACACGTATTCAAAAATAGACAACGAATAACATTAATATTTTATTATCATCAAGAAAATTGAAAAAACATGTAGGCACAATTTTTTACTATTACATACATATGTAGGTAATAATTTTATCATGAAAGGTTTGTAAATCCAAGTTAAACCGGTTAACCTCTGCCTGAAATTAGAGAAAAGCCCATTAGATTAAGCTTTATTTAAAATAAGGGAATAATCAGAGCCATAAAAAGGTGAAATATAATCTTCGTCTAATATCAAAGATAGAATGATCTCTGAATAAGCTCGCCGCTCGGATTAACGAAACGTTATCCAGGACAACACCAGTTTACCTAGTGGTCGCGACAGCTTTTACTAATTCGTGAATTAAGTTTATTCGGTTGTATAAAGTCACTCAAAATTTATTTCTCCCTTTTTTGGTATTTGTTTAAATTGAGTCGGTTACATTAATACAATATTATATTGTCATTTTTTATCGTTTTTAGAGGTGTCAGAGAATTTGCATTCCGACTTACCTGGACAAAAGCCATTTGCGATTATTCTGTAGTCTGCAAAAAATATTGAGGTGTCACTTTAGTATTGTCATTCTTAAGAGATACTATTTAATTTTTCGTTTTTTTTATCCATATATTCCCTTTACTTTTATTTTACTACTTACCGCTTCCAGTCAAACAATTGTATCGGTTCATAGCACAAACATTTTCGAATTCAGATTGATCGCCGTTTCTCGCGCTAGAGCCACACACAATTCGGCCGCCACTCGGACAAGTACGACAAACCTGGGCTTCCCCGCAGCTCCAGGATAGAGCCACGAAAGCGATTTGAGTAAAATAAAACAAAATTATTGTCGTTGCAGTTCCGTTAGGTACAAGAAACAAAATTAAAAAATAATGTAAATGTCTTACCTAAAAGTAACGTTGAAATACGAGTAGTCTTCGTATTTCTTGTTGATACGAAAAGATTTGTAATAGTGGCAAAGGTTTACCTGCTTATATATGCCAAATTTAGGTACTTCAGGCTTTGAACTGATAATAAATATGTCTGTTGTCTATAGAATTAAAAATTAAGTGTTTCTGTTTAAATTTGGCTTGATATTATCTTAAATTCTTCCAAGAACAAGACGTTGTCAATGTTTAAATTTGGCTTGATATTATCTTAAATTCTTCCAAGAACAAGACGTTGTCAATGTTTAAATTTGGCTCGATAATATCTTCAAGACTCCCAAAAAAAAAGACGTTATCAGTTACATAATGAAGGTTAAATTTGAAAAAACTCGGACGACCGTGTGCGACATGTCGTGGTGACTTTTTCGAAAATCTTTTCACGCAAAGGAACTTGTTTCTCCTCTATCGTCTAGCGCAAACAGGAGTTCAAAACTTTAACAGCTAAATATTATAAACGCAAATGTGAGAATGTATGTTTATAACGATTCCACTCAACCAATCATCATTGTCGGGGGTACAGGAAAGAAATATTGGGGTACCTTTTTTCCGGAAGAACAATACAGTTCCTGAGGGATAGAAAAATTAGTTTTACGTGAACGTTGATGGTCTTAGACATGTACCTACTTAGGACTTCAACGCTAGCAAAGCCGGGGGTAAAAGCTATCACGAAATTTTGCACACAAATTGTCAGGGATACACAATACGACGTAGGGTACACTGGGTCTATCGAAATAACAATTTTAAAAGTCTTACAATTAAATAACTATAAGTGATTCATTTGTGCTAACTTAGTAAAATCGCGAGACAGTGCGACCAACTGGGTCAAAGGCATTTACATACACAAATGTAATTTGCTGAACCACCTATTACCATAAGAACCATTAACACTGATTCTTATTATTTATTTTTCAAGGAACTAAACATCGAAAACAACTAGAGAAACTGTGTAAGAAACGTAATATATTTCTCTAGAATAATGACACCGGTATGAATCGAGACATCTAAAGATTTGTTCTCAAGCATCAAAAGCGTTAATTAAAAATGCACTTGTACCTATTTTAATTTCTACTTTTATATAACCGTAAAACAAAACAACCGTTTTCTTTTTCTTTTCTTGTTCATATTCACTTGACATTATTGTTTTTATTTTACTGCCCATGCACCCTGTCCTTCCTCGCAATTCATTTCGTCTAATTCATAAGCAATTCCGAAAGTTAGTCTGTTACGCTTTCCGTTAACGCCACACACAGGTTCGTATTCGTCCGTACAACCCGAACATTCCTGGGCTTTCCCACAGAATCCTGTTTCACTGTAGTTCCAGAATACAGGCAAGAATTACCTTAATCAAATGTAACGCTGAAATCGTCTTTATATCATTTGTTCATAAGGGGATTTACACTTCATTTACCCCAATTAATCTACTTAAGGTTTGTTAAACTGGTAATAAAACAATAACATGATTTCTCTTAAATAGATTTCGATTAATAATATCTTACTTCTAATAACATACTCAAAAAAAGAACTTCGCTAGTTACAAAACGAAGGTTGTGTTTGAAAGTGCGCAATTGTTATATGTAACGTTTTGCCATTTCTATCTACATGGACAAACAGGGCGAACGAATTTATAGAGAAGAGAGTTTAGACGTTTCTGATAAAAGTTTTTGCTTATTAGACCGTTATTGACGGTATTTTTCAGGAAACATTGTTAGACATTTAATTCAAGTATTTTTAAAACATATTCGGTCATCTGTCATCATTTTATTTTAAAATACTATTGATTTTGAGAACACCAAGGGTATGCAGAACTTTCATTAAACACGTATTAAAAAGTAAACAATGAATAACATGAATATTTTATTATTATGAAGAAAATTGAAGAAACAACTAGGTACACATTTTTAGCATATTATATATGTAGGTAATAATTTTATTGTAAAAGGTTTGTAAATCCAAATTAAACTGGTTAACTTCTTGCACTAATTGTTGCTGTCTGAAAGTTAAGAAAAGCGTATTAGATTAAGTTTTAATTGAAATAATAGATTAATCAGAGCCAAAAAAAGGTGAAATACAATCTACATCTAACATCAGAGTTAGAATGATCTCTGAAGAAATTCGCCAGTTGGGATAACGAAACGTTACGAAGTAACTCCAATCGACAACGGCCTTTAGAGCCGAACCAGGACAACACCAGTTCACCAAGTGGTCGCGAAAGCTTTTACTAATTTTCGAAACAAATTTATTCGGTTGTATGAAACCACTCAAAATTTATTTCACCCTCTTTCTGGTTTTGATTGTTCTATTATCAGTGTAAGGGGAAGATATGATATTTGATTATTTCAAATGTTATCACTTCTTTTGATTTATCTTACTTACTGTATATTGTTCCAAGTATGTTGCAATCATAATTAAAATAGTTCTTCGGATTTCCCTAATTCATTTCGGCAAGTAGGTGTTTGTCTAATTCTGTTGGCAGAAAGGTATTTTTTAAGTTTTCTACTTTTAGCTGGGGTTATGTTACAGTTTTTATCGTTTTTAGAAAAGTCACAATTTATTTTCGTCCTTACCTGAATAACAGGAGCCTTTCTTGAGGATTTTGTAATCTAAAAAGATATTGAGATTTTAGTTTAGTACAGTTATTGCAAAAACATTCTTAATCCACAGCATATTTTGAAAAATACAATTGTAAAATAATCCAAGTGCTTCCTTTTTCTATACACATCCCCTTTACTTTAATTTTATCTTACTACTCACCGTCTCCAGTCAAACAATTGTGTCGGTTCAATGCACACGCACTTAAAAATGTTCTTCTATTGCCTTTTTCATCATGACCACAAAGAGGTTTGAAGTTACGCGAACAAGTCGAACATGCCTTGACTTGGTCTAAGGATTCTGTTTCGCCATGGCTCATGGATTTAGTACCTGTAAAATGAATAATGAATGTTATTGTTCCAACTGTCAACTTTTAGCTGGGGTAATGTTACAGTTTTTATCATTTTTAGAAAAGGCACACAATTTGTTTTCCGACTTACCTAGACAACGGCCATATCCGGCGAATTTGTAGTCTGCAAAAAATATTGAGGTTTTACTTTAGTATAGTCATTGCAAAAAAACTTTCTTAGGAGATGGTATTTCATTTTACTTTGTTTATATTTTACTACTCACCGTCTCCAGTCAGACAATTGTGTCGTTTCAATGCACACGCATTTGAAAATGTTCTACTATTGCCTGTCTCATCATGACCACAAAGAAGTTTGAATTTGCCCGAACAAGTGGCACATTCGTTGGCTTGTTTTAAAGGTGCTGTTTCGTTAGAGTTGTCCGGTATTTCAGAACCGTCAGAAGCTGTAAAATGAAGCCAAAATATTTTAATTACAGTTGTATTAAACACAAATAACAATTAGTCTCGTTATTGTGCCATTTTTAATGCATTTTATTACTACAAATAAACACAAAGAGAAGCTATCAATGTAACTCAGTTATGAATTTGTGAAGCAACACTACGTGGAAACTGTTATCAATTACAATGTAAAATAATTTTATGGGGTCCTGAAGGGTTAATTTTGCTAATAGTTTTTAAAAAACTAACACAATTTTGTACTCCCACTTACCTAGACAACGACCAAATCTGACGAATGTGTAGTCTGCAAAAAATATTGAGATTTTACTTTAGTATAGTCATTGCAAAAAAACTTTCTTAGAAAATTGTATTTCATTTTTCTGGTTACCTTTCAAAGCCCATTACCTTCCACATATTCCCTCTACTTTCTTTTTATTTTACTACTCACTTGTTCCTATTAAACAGTTGTATTGGTTCATATAACAAAGATTTCTGAATTGTCTTTGAGTGCCTCTTGACGACTCACGGGCACAAACAGGTATGAACTGGTTCGAACAATTAAAACAATTCGGATTCTGGGCTTCCCCGCAGCTCCAGGATAGAGCCACGAAAGCGACTTAAATAAAATAAAGCGAAATTATTGTCGTTGCAGTTTCGTTAGGAGCAAGAAACAAAAATAAAAAATAAAGTAAGTGCCTTACCGAAAAGTATAACTGAACTCGTATTCATGTCACCTGTTGATAGGGAAAGATGTATGATATAACAATGTGGCAAAGGTTTACCTGCTTATATATACGAATTCAGGTACTTCAGGAGTAATACGTATTTCGTGTATTTAAAAAAACCCTCATTAAATGTGTTAAATTTACACACTTTCGGCGTACTGATAATTAACACGTTTTAAAGGTGTCTACGCGATTTTACACGCCAAATGCGTGATAAAATCACACACGTGCGTTTGCACTGATTTGAACTGATAATAAATACAATAGCCCCTTCTCTGGAGAATTAAAAATTAAGTGTTTCTGTTTAAATTTCGCTCGATAATATCTTCAAGACTCCCAAAAAAAAGACGTTGTCAATTACATAATGAAGGTTAAATTTGAAAAAACTTGGAGGACCGTGTTCGAAATGTCTCGGAAACTTTTTCCAATATCTTTTGACGCAATTGGATTTTTTTACCTCGTCTGTAGAGGCTACATTCTGTATTCAAAACTTTAGCAGCAGTTATTTCAGCAGTTTTGTCGTGCAGGAGCAGGTTATAGCTCATGAATTTTGTGACGTCAATAATCCTGTTTGTTCAGGCGTTATTGACAGGGGTACAGGAATGATACGTTGGGGTACCTCTTATTCAAAAAAAACAATATAGTTCCCAAGGGATATTATTATTATAATTATTATTGATGACTGTGAGACAGGGTGCAAAAATGCTCAGGGACACCGAGTCGTCAGACCATTGTATCCCCATTTGTGGGTGTAGCACCTAAGCTCGCTGTACCCAGTAAACAATCCTAGGATAAGACGCGCCTTGTTCTTCTTCATGTTCCTTAGCTCCATGTTCCAGCTGTTTATGTACTTCCCGAGCAGCTCCTTGGACCATCTGTGTCCCAGAGTTGCTGCCCAGGTGTCCCATTTTTGCTTTCCCATGATTCTACTAATAGCGTTGTTTCCTTCTTGGTACGGTATTCCTACCTCCCCGTCCGGTTGTTCTTTCATATCTGCTCCCTGCTTTGCAAGATTGTCAGCTTTTTCGTTACCCTTGTACCCCGAGTGACCAGGTATCCAGGTAATTCATTTAAGGTATCTTTCATCTTTTGAACCAGCTTACAGGTTGTTACTGGCTTTTCCAGTGCCATTATAGAGGCTAGAACTAGGGATAGAAAAAAAAAAATAGTTTTACGTGATCGTCAATGATCTTAGACCCGTACCCACCTAGGACATCAACGCTAGCGAAGCCATGGCTTAAAACTATCACGAAATTTTGTACTCACAAGTCCTAGTAGCTACCAAATAATATGTTTGTTTGACAGCAAACGCGTTTGTTCAATTGCAAGTTCAGACAGAATGTCTTTTGTCATTCGTGCGCGACAAAACATCAAAGTTCGAACGAAATTTCTCAGTTGCTATTGTTATATATTAAACATCGAAAGCCTAGTATAAATACGTTATTGTTCCATTTCAAAATTTCGTTTAATTGAAAACTAGTACACATCACTTCATATACATGAAATGGAACAAATTCGTGCATGTAACATTCTAGCTGATGCATGAGTTGTTAACATTAGAAAATGTTCTAATTGGAAGTGGGAACTTTTATTTTCAATTTACACCACAAAAAATACATTTATTTTTTTAGTCGTTTTTGTCGTAGACTGGTCCGGTGCTTTGAAGGTAGGCCAACCACAAGGTGGTTATTATTTCGAAATCTGACCTCAACTCGTCAAAAAACTCTTCAATCTGTTCCCTTTTCATTTCCTCTTCCGTTTCGTTTAAATCCGATTTTTCCAGGTTTTCTATTGCAAAATCCATCCACATGTCGGATATCTCACGGACAGCGGGTTCTATGTACTCTTCCATATTATCCTCAACAAATGTCTGTAATGTTTCCGATATTGTGTAAGGTGCGTTTAATAGAGAATCCAGATAATACTTGAGGACCACTACCGTAATAGAGTTGACCTTGTTCTTTGCTACAGTATCCAGAGCATGAAACTGCTTATAATATTCCGTCGAAATTGATGCAGGTGGGACAGACTCTAATAAACAATAGTAGAGAATAATAAACAAACCCTGATGGATCACTAAAGAATAATACGTGTAGGTATTGCAGGGTTCAAATTAATCGAGAATTTTATTTTAACATCTTTACCTGCACACACAAATACGAAAGCCACAACGAAAGTCCCTGAAATCTTCATTCTTGTTGTTTGGCGAGATACTAAAAACTTTTCCTATTTTCAAGTTTATAATATTGCCGCACGGACACGTAGCTAATGATATCGTAAAATGAACGTGACCGCTGCGATATTTCAATACCTGGTAATTTACGATTACCTTGGTTCTTACGTGCCACTTTTCGGGAAAGTACAGACGTATTAACCCTTCACTGACTTAATCAGTATTTTTGATTCACTAGTTAGCCTAGTAAATAAATATCCAAAAATTGCTAGTGATTTAATTATTTCTGATATTCACTGAAAGTAACATCTGAATACCTGGTTCATATTGATCATATTTACATGCATTTAACGTCTGCAGTAGGTAAAGGCCACTGACCGAAATTAATGGAATCTGGGATTAAGGTTGGTGAATGGAAGTCGTTTAATACAGTTTACAGGGTGTTTGCGAGTCAATCACATTGACTAAATCGAGTCTGTTCAATTAACTGGAAACCGGGTACCTCATCCGCTACAATCGTGCCAATATATTGTCCCAAAAGTGTGCGCCAAACAATTAATTAGAGGCGACTGCAGTTTGAAATAGATAAGCCGAAACGTCTGTACGGACTCCCTTCGTAATAATCAACGACAACGGGACCAACGATTGTATAGGCAAGGACGACTTTGACACAGCAACACGGAGCAAACATGCATTATTGTGACCAACCTGTGACACACGATTTTCAGCATGGGTGTCGCAATGATGGTAAACCATCCATCTCAAGATCTATTATTTTGTACTCTTGCAGAAGACAATTACTGCGTGCTTTAAAACTGACTCTAATTATTTATTTTGCAAGGAAGGAAGGAAGCAGCGAAAACAACTACAGAAACTGTGTAAGAAACGTAATATATTTCTTCAGAACAATGACACCGGTATGAATCGAGGCATCTACAGATTTGTTCTCAAACATCATCAAAAGCGTTAATTAAAAATGCACTCCCATCTCAAGTAGCAAAACAAGATAGAAAAAAACAGATAACTATTAAATTATTGTTCGAACTTCATGTTTCTGATCACTTTTTGAAGTAATTATTTCTATTGGAAATACAAAGTTCGCAATTGTTATATATAACGTTTTGTAATTTGTATCTACATGTACAAACAGGGCGAAAAAATTGGTAAAGTTGTTCTTCATTAGACTGTTATTGACCATATTTATCAGCAAACAGTTTTGGACACTTTACCTAAGTTTTATTAAAACATAATCATTCATTTGACATCATTTTATTTTAAATTGCAGAGAAACACTAAGGGTATCCAGATTTTTCATTAAACACATGTTGAAAAGAAAACAATGTAAAACATGAACATTTTATTATTATAAAGAAAATTGAATAAACAAGTAGGTATTTTTAGTATTACATGTGTAGGCAATAAATTTATTGTGCCTTGGTTTGGTCTAAGGATTCTGTTTCGCCATTACCCAAAAAAAAAAGACGTAACATAATGAAGGTTAAATTTGAAAAAACTCGGAGGAGTGTGTACGACATGACGCGGTAAGTTTGTTTTAAAATCTTTTAACGTAATTGGACTTTTTTACCTCGTCTATAGAGGTTACACTCTCTATCATATATAGCAAAAACAAGAATTCTAAACTTTAGCAGCAGTTATTTCAGTAATTTTGTCGTGTAGGAATAGGTTATAGCTTATGCATATTGTGGCGTCAATAATCCTCACTAATATTATGCAAATGTTAGACTGTTTGGTTATTACGACTTCACGCCTTAACAACTCAATCAATCATCACTGTCAGGAGTACAGGATAGACATTTTAGGGTATATTTGATCCAGAAGAGCAATACTGTTCCTGAGGGGTGGAAAAATTAGTTTTACGTGGACGTTGATGATCTTTGACACATATTTAGGACATCGACGACAACGAAGCCGCAGGTAAAACGTATCATGAAATTTGGTACACACATTGTCAATGGTACGGAAAAAGGCATAAGGTATCTTTTAGTCAGACCAAAATACTCTTCCCGGACCACCTATAGAAAAATTAAAACGAGTGAAATCTAGTCACAAATTATGAGTAGAAACAGAAATACAAAAACCATTGACTGCAAGGTTAGTATACGATTAGAAGATTTTAGGTTTCTATTGCAAAATCCATCCACATGTCGCATATCTCACGGACAGCGGGTTCTATGTACTCTTCCATATTATCCTTAGTACAGTTATTGCAAAAACATTCTTAATCCACAGCATATTTTGAAAAATACAATTGTAAAATAATCCAAGTGCTTCCTTTTTCTATACACATCCCCTTTACTTTAATTTTATCTTACTACTCACCGTCTCCAGTCAAACAATTGTGTCGGTTCAATGCACACGCACTTAAAAATGTTCTTCTATTGCCTTTTTCATCATGACCACAAAGAGGTTTGAAGTTACGCGAACAAGTCGAACATGCCTTGACTTGGTCTAAGGATTCTGTTTCGCCATGGCTCATGGATTTAGTACCTGTAAAATGAATAATGAATGTTATTGTTCCAACTGTCAACTTTTAGCTGGGGTAATGTTACAGTTTTTATCATTTTTAGAAAAGGCACACAATTTGTTTTCCGACTTACCTAGACAACGGCCATATCCGGCGAATTTGTAGTCTGCAAAAAATATTGAGGTTTTACTTTAGTATAGTCATTGCAAAAAAACTTTCTTAGGAGATGGTATTTCATTTTACTTTGTTTATATTTTACTACTCACCGTCTCCAGTCAGACAATTGTGTCGTTTCAATGCACACGCATTTGAAAATGTTCTACTATTGCCTGTCTCATCATGACCACAAAGAAGTTTGAAGTTGCCCGAACAAGTGGCACATTCGTTGGCTTGTTTTAAAGGTGCTGTTTCGTTAGAGTTGTCCGGTATTTCAGAACCGTCAGAAGCTGTAAAATGAAGCCAAAATATTTTAATTACAGTTGTATTAAACACAAATAACAATTAGTCTCGTTATTGTGCCATTTTTAATGCATTTTATTACTACAAATAAACACAAAGAGAAGCTATCAATGTAACTCAGTTATGAATTTGTGAAGCAACACTACGTGGAAACTGTTATCAATTACAATGTAAAATAATTTTATGGGGTCCTGAAGGGTTAATTTTGCTAATAGTTTTTAAAAAACTAACACAATTTTGTACTCCCACTTACCTAGACAACGACCAAATCTGACGAATGTGTAGTCTGCAAAAAATATTGAGATTTTACTTTAGTATAGTCATTGCAAAAAAACTTTCTTAGAAAATTGTATTTCATTTTTCTGGTTACCTTTCAAAGCCCATTACCTTCCACATATTCCCTCTACTTTCTTTTTATTTTACTACTCACTTGTTCCTATTAAACAGTTGTATTGGTTCATATAACAAAGATTTCTGAATTGTCTTTGAGTGCCTCTTGACGACTCACGGGCACAAACAGGTATGAACTGGTTCGAACAATTAAAACAATTCGGATTCTGGGCTTCCCCGCAGCTCCAGGATAGAGCCACGAAAGCGACTTAAATAAAATAAAGCGAAATTATTGTCGTTGCAGTTTCGTTAGGAGCAAGAAACAAAAATAAAAAATAAAGTAAGTGCCTTACCGAAAAGTATAACTGAACTCGTATTCATGTCACCTGTTGATAGGGAAAGATGTATGATATAACAATGTGGCAAAGGTTTACCTGCTTATATATACGAATTCAGGTACTTCAGGAGTAATACGTATTTCGTGTATTTAAAAAAACCCTCATTAAATGTGTTAAATTTACACACTTTCGGCGTACTGATAATTAACACGTTTTAAAGGTGTCTACGCGATTTTACACGCCAAATGCGTGATAAAATCACACACGTGCGTTTGCACTGATTTGAACTGATAATAAATACAATAGCCCCTTCTCTGGAGAATTAAAAATTAAGTGTTTCTGTTTAAATTTCGCTCGATAATATCTTCAAGACTCCCAAAAAAAAGACGTTGTCAATTACATAATGAAGGTTAAATTTGAAAAAACTTGGAGGACCGTGTTCGAAATGTCTCGGAAACTTTTTCCAATATCTTTTGACGCAATTGGATTTTTTTACCTCGTCTGTAGAGGCTACATTCTGTATTCAAAACTTTAGCAGCAGTTATTTCAGCAGTTTTGTCGTGCAGGAGCAGGTTATAGCTCATGAATTTTGTGACGTCAATAATCCTGTTTGTTCAGGCGTTATTGACAGGGGTACAGGAATGATACGTTGGGGTACCTCTTATTCAAAAAAAACAATATAGTTCCCAAGGGNTAATTTTAACATCTTTACCTGCACACACAAATACGAAAGCCACGACGAAAGTCCCTGAAATCTTATCTTGGTGCCAATTTTCGGGAAAGTACAAACGTGTTAACCCTTCACTGACTTAATAAGTATTTTTAATTCACTAGTTAGCCACGTATGTAAATATCCACCAATTGCCAGTGGTTTAATTATTTCTGATATTCACTGAAAGTAACATCTGAATACCTGGTTCATATTCATCATATTTACATGCATTTAACGTCTGCAGTAGGTAAAGGCCACTGGCCGAAATTAATGGAATATGGGATTAAGGTTGGTGAATGGAAGCGGCTCCGATTGAGCGACTGACATCTAATAACACAGTATACAGGGTGTTTGCGAGTCAATCACGTTGACCAAATCGAGTCTGTTCAATTAACTGGAAACCGGGTACCTCATCCGCTACAATCGTGCCAATATATTGTCCCAAAAGTGTGCGCCAAACAATTAATTAGAGGCGACTGCAGTTTGAAATAGATAAGCCGAAACGTCTGTACGGACTCCCTTCGTAATAATCAACGACAACGGGACCAACGATTGTATAGGCAAGGACGACTTTGACACAGCAACATGGAGCAAACAAACACTATTGTAGCCAACCTCTGACATATGACTTTCAGCATATGGGTGTACCAATGATGGTAAACCATTCATCTCACGATCTATTGAAGATTTACCAAAAGCCCATAGGACAAAAAGTATTCTTAGGATTT